TTTTTTTTTGACATTTTAACAAATGTAACACTCTAATTAGAAATCAGCATTAAATCTCAAATATTTTAAACATAAAGGCAAAGCAATATTCAAAATATTCCACAGTTTGTATGTTTTAAAAATATTTTAGAAATTTTAATCCACTTTAAATAACTGAATAGTTAATGGTAAATTTTGAAATCAATAAATCAAATAAATCTGTATTATTTTGATTGCCTAATCACTTATACTTTGATGAACCACATTTAATGTGGACTGTTTTTTTTAAGAATGTAAAAATTGAAAGCTTACCACTGCATTAACATGAGAATTCATTGAAATAAAAAAGCTTTTTGATTTTTCAAGTAGTTCTCCATTGCTTACGTTATATTAAATAAATAATATTATAAAAGTAAAACTTGCATTAAATGTTTGGAGGAGGAAAAAAATGACTCTTAATAAACCAAAATGTAAGTGTGGGAACAGAAAATTTGGTGTGTGGAATAAAACCCTAATAGCACTGGTCATTTTGCACTTCATCATTATAAATTGGATTAGTTTCAATAGGGTCTGAAGACAATGAACCTACCAGTTAGGGTAAGTAGAAGTCAGTAAAAGGAGATTTCCCAGGACATCTGAAGATGAATCAAAATATTTCTGGGAAATGCACCATTTGACATGTGTGCTCTCAGTCTTGGTTACAGAGCAAGTAAATCAGAGGGGAAAGTGTGCAGCAATGTCATACGGATAGAGATTGGCTAAAAAATTTTCAGTAAATAAACTGATTTACTCAGCACTCTCTAAGACTGAACAAAATCTAGGAAATTGCTAGTACAATAAAAATACTCAAAAATTAGCGTGATGAAGAACAATAACAGGATTGTGAAAAGAAAAAAATTGAAATGTTTTATATACAATTTTTCAAATAAATAATATGTAAGTATGCCAACTGACTTGATATGAGAATTAATAAAAGTTGGATTACTAGAGCTACAACAAGAAGAGCCAATATATCCTAAAATTGCTCTTATGGCTGAACACTTTGCCCTCTATAAAGTGCAGTTTTTCACAAACAAATACAGGTCTTAAATCTTCCCTGATTACAGAGGTTCTATGGGACCACAATTAGGTTTTTTTTTTTTTTTTTTTTTTTTTTTTTTTTTTTTT